CCTGTAGACGTGAAAGCCTACGGTGACTTTGGGCTAGTCACTCTCTCTCAGCCCAACCCAGCTCACGGGGTTGCTGTGGGGAAAAGAGGAGACAGGAACACCACCTTGAATTGTCCAAAATAAAGGTGCGATATAGATGTGATAATAAATAACATACCCACATCCTTTAACACTCCTCATCGAGTTTTGTTTCTAGACCCTGTATCATCTTGGTAGCCCTCTTTTGAACTAGCTCCAGCTTGTTAGTGTTCTTTTTGAACTGTAGTGCCCAGAACTGGTTGTGGCTCTGCAGATGGAGTTTGACAGAGTGAGAGAATTACTTCCTACAATCTGGACTCTTTGTCCCTGTGAATGTACCCCAAGATAGCAGTTACATTTTTTGAAGCTGCATCACACTGCTGGCTCATGTTTAGCTTGCAGTCAACAAGGACAACCAGTCTCCTTTTGCAAGTTCTACTGCCAGGCCAGGTCGCCCCCATCCTATACTTGTGCATAAAGTTTTTCCTGTCCAGATGCAGAACATTTACATTTGTTCTCATCATGGCTGGGAACTGCTTGTTTGAAAAAAAACGAGCATTTAACCTTTAGGATTAAGTTAAGGGTTGCCTTTTTACTTTACAGGAAAGTAAACTCCACTCCCATTCCAAATAAATCCGATTGAGTCTACAGCTTTCTGGAGGGAGAAATACTTTCTGAGCAAAGAAATAACTATGTGTTGGTATACTCTTTTCCTGACTTTCTCTTTCAGACTAAAGTCTGCAGTATAACAAAACACTCAGACTTCTCTACCAGCGGACAGTGGGATGTTACCACAGAGTCAGATGGGAAGCAGGAATCATCAGTTTTTGATGCAGTTTTGGTCTGCACTGGCCACCACACCAACGCACATCTGCCTTTGGACTCCTTCCCAGGTATGACTGGAAACTGCTAAGAGAGTGACACTTCTTTTTCAACTACAGTGTTGTACCAAATGGGACAAGAGACTGGGATGCCCTCTGATGGATTGTTCCTAGTGTTATGAATTGAAAGCTATAACTTGCATGCCTTTCCCTTTGAAACAGATTTTTTGTGATAGAAGAGACAGAAGAAACAATGGCAACATATTGGAAAAGTTACAATGAAAGATGACACAGTCTGGGTCACTCTAATCAATCCATGAATGAGGCAGGAGACTGCACAACAGAAGCTTTGTCAGCAAAAATTCATAAATGAGACCCCAAATGTTCATTCTGAACTCCACTATCACTTCTTGCCATTCTTGAAGTTGCAGTTTAATACTGATAGCATTAAAAAAGCATCAGAGGCTGCTTGAATCCTATAAGCACTCCAGACTGCTATTATCATCCTAACTACTTTAAAATAAGATTTTAATGAACATTTGATTTCTTGCTAACAATCTCTCCCATCCATAATGTCTCCATTATTCTCCCACAAACCTGGGCTTAAAGTGACAATTGGTTCTCCATTCCAACAAGTGAGCTGTGGGGATAAGCAAACTAGCATGTCTTATGTGGGTAACTGGCATAGATCAAAATTAGGTAGGTAACAACTATGCTTTTGTAGCATTCACACCTGCTCTTTTCCTACTTCATAAAATTAACAATGGTTGTTGCATAAACTCATCCTCTATTAGAGGATATCATGCTCTTTTGTTGTTGTTCGCCGTACTGAGTAGTGTGTGTGCATGCCCTGAATCTAAGGACTGACTGTGCTAGGTACAAACTAAACTGGAAATTACTCACAGTAATTTTCCAGCATTTTGGACTGGTTTTTACCCATGTGGCCAAATGGAATTACAATGATCAGCAGAATGAATTAAATCTCAAATTTGATTTAATGCACTTCCTATAAAATAATAGATCAATTGATTTATAATGTGCCATCAAATCAGTGTGGACTCTTAGTGACCACACTGATAGATTTTCTCCAGGAATAAAATTTAAAACCTTAACATAATTCTTCATCAGATACAGTGGTACCTCGGTTCATGAACGCTTCTGTTCATGAACAATTCGGTTCACGAACAGCTCCGTTCGCAAAATTTTGCCTCCGTTCACGAATGCCGGATCGGGTGATGAACAGGATCAGCGGCCATTTTCCCTCCCATGACACATGTTGCGGCTTCCTGTAGGGAGGGGGACTCTCCCTCCAAGCAGTAACCACCTCCCCACCTACCTTCCTGTCCTCCACGCCCGAAGTCGCG